TAGATGACTGGATCAAGAAGATGTGGTACATATACACCATGGAATATTACTCAGCAATCAAAAAAGATAAACACATGCAATTTGCAGCAACATGGATGGCGCTGGAAGGGATCGTGCTGAGCTAAATAAGCCAGAAAGAAAAAGAAAAATACCGGATGGTCTCACTCATAGCAGGAACCTAGAAAACTTAAATAAGGGACCAGGAAAAAGAATAACTATAAGAAAGTGAAAATCAAAATCAACAAAAAACTATGAACCTGAGACACTCTATGGGGGGTGAGGGGCGGGGAAGGGAGGGATTGGGGTCAAAATAAGGGGGTTGCAATTGTATGGAGAATATAAAAATAAAAATTATTAAACAAAATTCTTTATGTGATCATTACATCATGCAATCATGTGATTTCACTTTTACATTGTTTTAGAAATTATTAACAGTACACAGTCCTTTTTCTAATTTTCCTAGTCTATGATTAACTTGGTTGCTTGGTTACATTAACATGGCTACCTATTTTCCTAGGTGATGTATGTTATTCAGAAAATAGAAACAGGTGCTACACATATTGTGATTCAAGCGGTCAAGCTAGGTAACTAAAACAAGGCTAAACAGGCATAGTAAAATTGAGGGCAGCCTTCTATTTCCTATCTAGAACCAGGTGGTCCCGGTGCCATGGGAACAGCATGTGGTGTGTTTTTTTCTCGGACCACTTTGCCTCCCGGGGCATCTCAGGGGCTTTCTCTTGTGGGGACTTTTACCGGGCTCAGTTCCATCAGTTCTACCAAGCGTGGTTTGTTGGAGAACTCAGTGTTACTTATGGTAACTGCATCACAAATTGGAGGACATGGAGAATTATTGGAAACCGTTTCATTATCAGTCATGTTGGAAGGTACATTTTTTTAAACTACTGAGGTGTGCGTTACCGAAACTGGCATTGACGCCAACACTCATTGTGTTAGTCTAAAACTTAAAATTTCCATGGTTTCGATAACTGCCACAAACAAATGAAAGGAAGCAGCAGTAGCCAGCTATCGAGTTTTCTGACTTTTCAGAAATCTTCCCCATGCCCGGACCTTTGTCAGATGGCATGAGTAGCATGGCCTACACCAGTAGGGTTCCCTGGTTGGTGAGGTGACAGCCATCCTGGGGCAGTGATAACACTTTCTCCTGTAAAAGCTACTGTCAGAGCCTACACCATGCAGAGGCATGAAGCAGGAGGGAGACAAAGTCCTAGTTCTCAAGGGGTCAGCTTCGCTTTGCCTGGAAGGCCCTGGGCAGGCCAGTTGAAGTTCTGGCAGTGAAGTTCACCAGGTGTGCAGAGCATGGATACGCTCTGGAGAGAGACCAGCTTGAGCAAAAGTGAGAAAAACCCAGTATGGGTATGGACAGGTCTGGATTGATAAGTGCAAACACAGCTGCTGAAAGTGGAGGTAGAGCTGTGAGGAAGCTGTTCGTATGGTCCACATGGAAAGGAAAAAGCTGATTAGCTACTAGAAGTCTTTGGCTAGAGAGGACTAAGCCAAGAAGCCTCCGGGAGAAAGGCTAAATAGGAAGGAAGGGCTGGAGAGGGAGGTAAACATTGTCAAGGGTTTCTAACCTGGATGGCCCATGAGTTGGTGAAAATGGCAGGGCTAAGGTGGAATTGGGTCTGGGCAACAAAAGATGAGGCCCCTTCCCCATCTCAGTCTGAGGAGAAAATGGGAGCTTATGCAACAAGCCAATTGGAAAAAAAAAAAAAACGACCTCTGTGTGCCCACGACGTGTCAGGCCTGGTGCCTTTCCATGTGAAATTTCACTCCGTTAGTCCCGACCCCCCTGTATGGATTGTCCACGATGAAACCCGGGGCCCCAGGCCTCCCCCCAGCCAGCACCGCTTGTAGCAACTCCTCACTCTCCGGGCAGCAGGGGAGAGCTGCAGCGGAGCAGCACCTGCGGACCGGGACTCGGTTCCTCCCGCTGTTCTCACCCAGGCCCAGGGATAGGGTCCGACACTGCAGCCCGGCCGGAGCCAGCCGGAGCGCAGGGGCCTGCAGCACGCAACTCGCAAGGGCTGTCCCTCGGTCTTGGGGTGGGCTGTGGGCGCAGCGGGCGGAGAGCAAACGACTGGAAAGTGGGTGGGTCCTGCTTCCGGAGATCACCCGTGGGCGGGACTTCGAGAGCCGCGAGAGGGTGTGCGTCACGGGGGAGAAGGCGGGATTGAATGGGCGCGGGGCCGGGATTGGGCCGGGGCCGGCGGGCACATAAGCGGAGACAGGGCAGAGACGCGTTTGACCCCGGGGGCGGGGCCCGGCGGGGGCGGGGCCCGGCGGGGGCGGGGCCCGGCGGGGGCGGGGCCCGGCGGGGGCGGGGCCCGGCGGGGGCGGGGCCCGGCGGGGGCGGGCCCGGCGGGGCCCGGCGGGGCCCCGGGAGCCTGGTAGCATCAGGGCGCAGGAGGCGGCCTGCCGGGTCCAGCGGGCGCCAGCGGGCGCAGGGGCGGGAGGCAAGCTCGCCGCGCCTCGCCAAGTGTTCCAGGCCACGCCGCATCGCCTTGCCATTCGCAGTGCTGAGCTCCCCGGCACAGAAGCCTGTTTACTCCCCTCGATACTGTCCAGGGGTAGCTTAGGGACTTCGGGTACACTCAACAGAGGTGGCGATGTCCAGCGTCGCTTCCATGCCCTGTGTCCAGGTGCAGTACCCGCAGGTCCTTACAGCGCCGCGTGATGGTGCCAGAGCCACCCGCGGCCCTGGGATGGCCTGGCTGCCACTTAGTGTCCCCCTCCCGCCTCCAGGGGGCGAGAAACAAGTTCTCCAGGATTGGGCATTACTCTGAGGGGCAAGAGTTCCAGCTGCGCTTGCCCTTTGCCCTCTCCCCGCAGAACCTCACGTGCCCCAACTCCGGGGATGCCCCGCCACGTCTCACCTCTTCTGGGTGGGGCTGACTCTAGGCTGCAGCTGCAGCCACAGGTCCGGGACGATGACGGCAGCAGCAGGTGGTGGCCGGTGAAGCACAGCATGACGCCCAGGAGGGCGCCTCCAGGCCCCCAGGAGCTCATTGACCCGTATGGATCAGTTCCGAGAACTCCCTTCCCGTGGTGGGGTGCTGAGGCCCAGCAGCACAGACTCAGGCCAGGGGACGGGGGTGGGGTGTGGGGTGGCTGTCAGCCTGGGCCAGCGCCAGCCTCCCAAAGGGGCAGGAACTCCCTGGGTTGTGGGCAACTGCTGTCAAGGAGGCCGCTTGGAGGAAAGTTCGCAGTTTCGCAAGAACTCCCCTCTCCTACTGCCAGCACCTTTTGGTGGCCACCGCAGCAGAACCTGTTAAGGAAATCTCAATTTCCTCATCTGTGAAATGGGGTGAATAATCTTGCTTAAAGCTCTTAAGCTCATGCCTGAGTCACAGGACTGACACACACACACACACACACACACACACACACACACACACACACTGGGGTGCTGGCACTCCTAATGACTTAAAAAAGAGAATAACAATCTCTTCCACTGTGTGGGTGTGAAACTGGAAACTGCGTCCTTCCCTATCTGTGAGGCTGCATATGGGGGGGTAAGGCGGGTAGGGGGAAATCCCTTGGTCTACCTTAAATACAGGCAGTGGTGTGCCTCACACCAGCCCCCCCTCCCGCACTGCTGGAAGTTCCTGATATAAGGGGTCCTCTACAGGTTCGATCCCCGGCTGCTCCCCGGCCACCAGAGGAGGGTCCCACATGGCGCGCAGACCTCCCCTGCCACCCGCTGCTCCCCTCAGCAGTGTACTTCGGTCCCTCTGCCTGCTCTGCTCCCCGCTCTGGCTCTGGTGAATTCTCTCACCCTCCCGCGCTTCTGACTGTACCCAGTGCATGTATATACAAAAAAACAAACAAATAAATAAATAAATAAATAAATAAAACATGCCTCTATTAAAAAAAAAAAAAACAACTGGTAAATTACAGGAGAGGAAACATTTAGTGGAGGATTCACTCATCACATTCATCCATCCAACTATTCTTTGAATTCTTGAACATTGATCCCCTTGCTGTGCTTAGCACTGAATACTAAGAATCTACTCTGCCTTCAAAGAGCCTTCTGGCCCACTAAGTTCCAGGCTTTTTTGGTGTGTGTGTGTGTGTGTGCGCGCAAAACCCTTCTCTCAAATTAAAAAAAAATAACATAGATGGGCCATATATTATTTAAATATAAAAATGTATTATATAAAATAGAAACTTGGAAGTGCCCTATAACAGGAACCAGACATAAAAGAGTACAAATTACAGAATTCCAAATCAGCCACAGCTGGGATGGCAATTCACTAGAAAAGTGAATAATCAGGATCCCATCTCAGGCTGGGGGTGGGGTGGGAGCTGTGAGAGCAACCTGTTTTAATACCCTTCCCAGGTGATTTCTATGCTAAAGTTTGAGACCACTGGAAAGTATATGGAGGCAAACTAATCTCTGCTGTCAGAAATGAGGGTAGTAGGGGCCTCCCTAGTGGCACAGGGCTTAGTCTCAGCTCTACCAAGCTATTGCCAGCCACTGTGGCATGAGTTTGATCCCCGGCCAGGGAGCTACCCACATGGTGCAGCAGACCTCTCCTGTCTCGCCCGCTGCTCCCCTCAACAGTATATTTCAGTTAATCTGCCTATTCTGTTCCCCATTCTGTCTCTGGTGAATCCTCTCACCCCCCCCCAACACCTCTGGCCTGTCACCCCAGTTCTTGTATGCATAAATAAATCTTAAGAAAAAAAAATGAGGGTAGTTGTAGGGTGAAAGATTGTCAGGTTTTTCTGCCCTCCCTCCGGTCCTGAATGCATGCCTGATGGCAGGCACCTGGAGTAGGGCATGGGTATATGTAGGTGGGTTCACCTGGGCTGAGAAGGGGCGGTGTGAGCAGAACCAGCAGGAGAGAACCAGCAGGAGGGAAGCACCAGAAGTGAATGAGAGAGAAAGAGAAGCAGAAGAGAGAGAAGGAGACCACGAGAGAATGCAGAAGAGCCCAGAAAGAGTGAAGATTCGCTGGGAGCTAGGAGGCCTGCCAACCTCCTGGCCCCCTGGCATCCCTGCCTCCCGGTTACTTGGTAAAATCCCAATAAAAACCTGAAAAGCCATGGAGGGCTCTAGGGCTCTCCTCCTTTACCTGTCTGCATAGGATCATAGAGACCCTGCTCTGTGCCTTCCTGCCCTGCTGCTACAGTATTCCCCTTAGGAGAGTAAAGACACACCAGCACAAAGGAAGCTTCCTGAATGCAGGTAGTATTCTGTTGCCTAATCTGGCTGCTGGTTATATAAGTGGTACAACTATAGGTGGGTGCGTGTTATATTTTATACAAAGTTTAAAAAGGGGAACTGCTCTGTTTGAGGCCCTGAGAGAGGTAGGGAGAGAGAGGTCTAGGAGCCAATTTATAGCTGACAAGACAAGCAGTTTTTAAGGGTTTCCCAAGGGAATCTGGAGTCCCTGTTAATGTAGCTTGAAAGCATCCATCAGTCCCAACAGTCCGTGACTTGTCCAAGGTCTCAGAACCAGCACCAGAATCTAGGGCTCCTGACTCCCAGGTCAGGGCTCTGGATTCTATTCCCTTACCGAAGGGCCAGTGTCATGAGTGAGCACAGGGCAGCTCATCAGCCTCCTATCCCCTCCTCGCTCCCTTAACATGGGTCGTGGGGAGAGGGCCAAGTCTGGTGGAGACAATGCTTTCCTTATCCTGGAGGAACTTCCTTTCTGGAAACTGGGTGTCTCCTTCTGGGCAAAGACAATAAAATTCACTCAAGGGGCCACAGGAGCAGGGTTCCTCCTGCCCCCACCCGGATGGGCATCACGTGGCTCCCAGATTAGCAGTCAGGAAAATTCCAGCCCTTGCACACTCAGCCTCCCACACCCATCTACTCACCCAGCCTCCCTGACTCAGCCTCCCTGACCCACCTTTAGCATTCATTGCACACTCCTGGACACACTTCTACCCTTGGATCCTGCCACCGCTCCTGGGCAATATTGCCAACCTTTTCCTAATTTCAGAGCTGCAGCCCTGCCTATCACTCACCCCAAACCCACCATGTCCTTGGGGTCACTGAAATTTCAGGCAGTGGGTGAAGAAGATGAGGACGAGACAGAAGAGAGCCTGGACTGTGTGAAGGCTCTGACGGCTAAGCTGCAACTGCAGACACGGCGGCCCTCATATCTGGAGTGGACAGCCCGGGTCCAGAGCCAGTCCTGGTGCAGGGTCCAAGCCAAACCTGGGCCAGATGGACTTGGGGCCATTTGTGGCTTCAACTCAATGGATTCTGCCCTGGAGTGGCTCCGACAGGAGCTGGTAAGTGTGGTGGGGTGGGCATTTTGCAGAGGGCCTTGGGATCAGTCCTCTTCAGGGTATGGGGAGGGGATGAGAATGGACCCCCCCGCCCCCAGCACTTCCCACTCCTGTGGCTGTGTGCTGGAGTTGAGGGCCAGGAATGAATTTCTGTGTATTATTTGGGGGAGCCTTGAAGCTGAAGAAGGATCCCCTCCAAACTACTGACCTTGTTTGTTCTCTTGTGGTTCAAGGCACAGAGCTTCTGTCCTTGGAGGTCACCAATTACAGGGAGGAAGACATGGCCTCCCCTACTCTAGGAATTGCTGTACCCCAAAATACAGTGAAGTAGGAAAAGATGCACTGGCCAAGTCTAAAAATTTGAGGGGCGAGTATTGACTAGATGACATGTGCCAATATAAAGGTGTCCAGGCTTCATATATGCAGCTTCCACTGAATTGATCTGGAACCCTCCCAACCCTCCCCCCACCCCCACCCCCCCCCCCCCCCCCCCCCCCCCCAGACATCCGTATTTGCTTAACAATGGTCCTTAGTTTGGTTTTAGGAACACCAGTTTGAGAGATAGGGAGGGATCTGGTTGCTGTGAGATGGGGTGGGGAGAACACAGTGTGTCGTCCGGCCCCCATGCTCCCCCATTCCAAAAAGACCAGGGAGTTGACCAAACTGCAAGAATGGCCCCAGCGACTCGGGCTGGGCCTGCAGGCTTACGCCCCCTCTCGGCTGCAGCGGGAGATGCAGGCTCAGGACCAGCAGCTGGCGGGACAGCTGCTGAGGCTGCGGGCCCAGCTGCACCGGCTGAAGGTGGACCAAGCCTGTCACTTGCACCAGGAGCTGCTGGACGAGGCGGAAATGGAACTGGAACTGGCCCCGCCACTGCGGCATCTCGGCCTCACCCGCATGAACATCAGCGCCCGGCGCTTCACTCTTTGTTAAGTGGCACCTGCCTGTCTCCTGGGACATTCAGTCATTCACCAACTCTTCCCCAGCCCAGCTGGGAAGGAGGAAGAGAGGGGTACCCCAGAGGTGCCAGCACCTGGGCGGGAGGAAAGGTTGGTGGGTGGAGCCATCCCTGCTCTCTGGGGTTATAAAGCCCCAGCATCCTGTCCCTACACTGCCGCCCCAGCTGGGGGGGTGGTTTGGCAAAGGGGAGCGTGAGAAGAAGGGGAGGAGCACAAAGTCCCAGACTCCTCAATAAATGACCTCTCTGCTTCCCATCGAGGCCTCTGCAGTCAGTTCTTCAGGCTCAATCTTGCTGCATGTCACCTGCTTGATGCCCCCCATGGAAGGCGACTTAGGTAAATGGGCTGATGACAAATGCAGGATCTTCAAAACCATCTCTACCATTAATTTCTATTCATCCTTGAGGAGGTCTCTTAACCCTGAATCTTTCTTTATGGAAATGCTAATTCTCCACAAGTATTTGGATATGTCCTTTTTTTTTTTTTTAGATTTATTTATTTATAAAAGAACTGGGGTACAGGCCAGGCCCTGGATATGTCTTAAGTGAGATAATGCACAGTAAATACCCAGTTAGTGTGAACTAGTGCTTATCATTGCTGTCACCTGTGGTATTTGCTGAGGCCCAGAGACCAGAGAGTGGAGTGCTCAGGATCACACCAAGGAGCTGGGCCCTGCCTCCTGCCTGGAGTCTGTGGCATTCTGTAGATTTTTTTTTTCACTTTGTGTCTCTCAGTCTTTGTTTCTATATTACCCTTTGAATTTCCAACTCTGGCTTCCTCTCCCCCCCCCATTTCCTGTCTCCCCCTTCCCTCCACGGCTGAGGTGCATCAGCTTCCACCTCACAAACCCCAACAATGCTCTGTGGGTTCCCCTCCCCCAACCTGCTCACTCATTTTAGGCTCCGCTGGGTGCTGGTGGTGGTGACGCATTTATACTTTCCTCTGGGTGGGGTCAACGTCCAGCTCTTGGGCCCAACACAGGCCACCTGGATTTCCTCATAACACTAGTGGCCTGACCCTCAGCCTGTGAGGGTCCCACCCTCAGTCTGGCTCCAGGGGGAGGGGAGAGTCTTGACCTGCTTGCTGCTCTTCACAAGGTTCCTGCCTCCTGCTTACAAGACAAATCCCACCAGTCGGCTGCCTGCACCTGGGTGCTTGGGCAGAAGTGTTTATTCTGTCTTGTACCTGTTGCAGGAGATAGTGCCAGGCCTACACCTCTCACAGGCCTTCAGCTTGTTTCCACCTGAATTAAAAGTGTTGCCTGCTCTCCAGAATTAGTAGGTGATGTTCTGCCCTCTAGCCCACAGCCGAGGCCTCTTGACAACACGGGGTTGTCCTGCCTGATTCCTTAGCAGCCTGTTGTCCAGCCTTCTGTCAATGGAGGGTTGTTAGCCTACCCTCTAGCCAGAATACATCTCTGGTCCTGTGCCCTGAGAGGACAAGGCTATGGTTCAGCTGCCGTCTGGGGAAGGGTGTTAGCCTGACTTCTGACTGTAACAAGGGTGTTCTCAAGTCTTGCTATTTCATGGGGATAGTGTCCTCTTCTCGGACCTTTGCCCCCAGACTGTAATGAAAGGGTCACTCAGCTCTCAGACCGTGACAACAGTGCGATTTGCAATTCACTGTAAGCTGCTTGTCCCCTGTTCATGGGGGTTTAAAGGTTGCCCTCGTCCAGGTGCATCCTGGGGGCGGTGGGGAAGTTCCACCAAATATCTTCCCTTCACCTCCAAAGGCCATTCTCAGGCTGAGTAGGAACCTGGCCTGGGCATGTGTAAGACCCTCAGGGGCTGATGGGCAGGGGGCTATGGCGGCAGGAAGCTCAGGGTGTTGGAGGCTTGTGGTTGGGCCTCTGGGGCCCGGTTGGCTGCGGAGCCCGAAGGAGGAGGGAGGAAGTCAGGGTGGGACGTGGGCGCGGGGACACAGGCGGTGGCTGCAACGGCGTGGGGAGCTGCAACTGTGTCTGGGCAGCCAGGCCAGGCCAGAAGGACCATGTGAATGGGGCCAGAGGGCTCCTGGGCTGGGCAGGTAAGGAGCACTGGGAGCGGGAGTCAGTGCGGGGGCGGAGGGGGGTAGTCCTGAGAGGGGTGATGTTCACAGCAGTGGGCTGCAGCTGGGTGTGAGACCAGGCTCCCAGGTATTCTTCTGGAAGACAGAAGAAACTTGCGGGGGGATCAGGTAGGAGGGATGCAGAGCAATCCCGTCCGGCTTTCTTCTTGGATGTTGGTTCCTGGCTCTGCCTTGCTGCCATCATCAGCTCCCACCTCACTGGGAGCATTTTTCTTGGAGAAACATTATGAAAAGGTATTAAAAAGGCCTTTAGAGATGCCTAAGCCCAGTGCCTCATCCCATAATGGATCAGCCTCTTGAGGCCAGCGAGGACAGGACACTGCCCTCCGAGGCCGCTGAACAAGGCAGTGTCAGGACCAGGCCCTGGACGACGAGGGTGACGACCTAGGCTGTGGTTCCCCCGCCCCCGGGGAGCAGGCGATGGGCAGGCTTGACTCGGGAGACCCAGCACCCCTCCGGCTGCTGGGCAGGCTCTAGTAGTAAGAATCTGCTGAGAGAGCTTGAGGGGAGTCACCCAGAGCATCCGGATGGACACGTGAGAAGAGATTTTAGCCTCAGTGACCAGCAGTGCTCACGAGGAGGTGGAGTCCCCCTGGGACATGTGAGAGGGTATTCGTGACTGGGATGGGGTCTCCCGGGCGGAAGTACCTGACCGGATGCTGGGAAGTCGAAGGAGAGAGAGAATGATGGGAAAGGACTATTTTTACCCCAAACGGGTGCAGTTGACCCTGGGCAAGGAATGTCTGAACTTCCGTATGCAAAGGAGCCATTCCTGGCCCTGCCAAGCGGCACAGGATGTCCGCCCACCCCCACTCCAGCCCCACACCCATCGCCTCTGTGTGGCAAGAGCCAGTTGGTCCTGCCAATTCCTGCCTCAAACCGAGGAAGGTGGAGGCTCAGGAAGGCACTCTGCAGCCACCTGCCCACCCCCTCACCTAACTCTCAGTCCTCAGTTTCTGGGGGGAGTCCCCACCTGAACCAGACTTTCCAGGTTCCCCTGCTTCACCCTCCGCCATTGGAGTTTTTCTTGACACACAGTTTCCATCCGGTCAGCATGTCCCAGCTTTGTTCCCGTCCCCAGCTCCAAGGTCTGCAGCCTCTTGTCAGAACTGGGAGAACATGCGCCCTGAACCTGAGGGGGGCTCCTCTTCTCTCTGGACAGGCATAAACTGCCCCCCTCCAGGCTGGTGCTGGTACTCAGCCTGGGTCCCTTGCCCTTGGGGCTCAGGAACAGCAGCAGGACAATGGGGCAGGACAATGATGGGGCAGGACAATGGCTGAGGAGACCAGCCTCGGGTGATCTGGAAGGCTTCCTGGAAGGCCATTGGAAAGAAGCACAAAGATCCATTCTGGAGGGTACCCAGGACATGAAGCCCGGGTCACTCTCCTTGGGGTCTTTCTGATCCTTAGGGACCACGAGAGTAGAGAGCTTTGAGCAAGACCAGAGGCAAGAGGGCCAATGGGTGTGGTATAGAGCAAAGAACAGGTTTTAGCGTCAGAGCCAGGAACGATTCTGGTTCCGCCATTTCCTTGAACTTCACCTCTCTGAACTCACTGTAAAGGGCCAATAATAAATTCTTCCCTCACAGAGTGCTTGTGGGGGATCAAAGTGAAAATAAAGCACCGGGCTAGTACCTGACACACAGAAGATGCTTAATAGGAATTGGGCACATCCTTCTCCTGGGAATGATGAACTAAAGGGGAGGGCCCTCCACACCTGGGATGACTCTTGCTTAGCATGTTGGCTGGCTGGTCACCCACCCAGTCCCTCACACTTGTGCTGTGGCTTTGCAAATTAACTTATTTCCTGTGTATAATGAGTGTGAGAATTCGAGGCTGAGTCAAAGTCTGCTGTAGAGGAGGGTCCCATGCACAGTGTCTCTCTCTCTCATACACACACACACTCCCTATCCCTAATACCACTGGTAAATATACATGTACAAGTATGTTCAGAAGCAGAGGCAGGGACTAAACAGAAAACATAGTCTGGATCCCACAAATTTGTATGCACTCCCATAGGTTGATGGCCAAGGCCAAGCTCAGTTCAGTGAAAGCAATTCTGAGGGAAACTGAGTGAGGGTGGGTTGGGGGGCAGGTGGAACCAGGTTATCATTCAGGGATGTAGCCTCTTAACAACCAGCTTCATGTAGAGTATCTGGAGCTGCATTCCCAACACTACTTCTAAAGAGCAGTGGTCCTGCGAGGTACTTGGAAATAACAGGATTCCAGGGCCTCGGCTACAAACTGTCCTGTATTAACTTTGCCGTCAGCAATAGCCTGCTGAAGCTCTGCAGATCCCCCGAAGGAAGAGCCTGATTAACTCTGTCTGGCCCAGTGTTGCCCCAGCTTCCTTGGTCACAGAGCCACTGTCCTCTCTCCACTCCCACACCTACCCTGCCTGAGACAAGCCTGGGGCCTGCTGTGCATCTGATCCTTCTCAATTGATTGTGTTTCTTGGCAGAGTTTTTTCGTCTTCGTGGTGGTTTTGTTGTTTTGACGTTTCAAATGTAAAACGAACACATGGCTGTTTTAAAAACTTCAAACAGTTCAGAAATGCGAGAAGTGTAGGTCAGTGATGAGAAGCTATCACCACCTTTTGTTCCAGTCTCATGACCATGAGATCAACCGCATGCACTACTCTGAGACCAAAAATAAAAAGTGCAGCTTTCTCCAATCTCACTTCTGGGATGTGTTCACCGTGAGCCATTTGGTGCAGGCCTTCTAGATTTTCCTATGTATGACTGCTGAAAAAAGCGTAGTTGTTAGCATTGTAGTCTCTGGAGGCAACCAGACCAAAGTTCCACTACTCATTTGTTTGTTATGAGGCCTGAGACACATCACTTTACAGCCTCAACAGCACTTCTGGGCCTCAGTTTTTGCATCTGTAAAGTGGGGTAATAATAGCACTTACTTCATAGGATTATTATGAGAATGACATGAAGTCATGCAAATGAAGTCTTTAAAAAATCCCATATGTATACAAATGCAAATAGGCTTCTATGCTACATTTTGTTCCTACAGCATGCTTGCCATGTTATACCTGGGATACCTTTCCACGTCAATACATGGAGATTTTTTAAAAAGATTTATTTATTTTTGCATACAAAAACTGGAGTACAGGCCAGAGGTATGGGGGGTGAGAGGATTCACCAGAGAGAGTGGGAAACAGAACAGGTGGACTAACTGAAATACACTGCTGAGGGGAGCAGCAGGCACGGCAGGAGAGGACTGCTGCGCCATATGGGTAGCTCTTTGGCAGGCCAGGGGATTGAACTCATGCTGCAGAGGCTGCGGATAGCTTCACAGTGCTGTGCTTAACCCCTTGCGCCACCAGAGAGGCCTAATACATGGAGATTTTTTTTTAAGATTTATTTATTTATGCACACAAGAACTGGAGTGTAAGCCACATGTGCAGGGGGTGAGAGGATTCACTAGAGAGAATGGGGAGCGGAATAGGCAGATCTACTGAAATGTGGTGCTGGGGGAGTAGCAGGTGAGGCAGGAGAGGTCTGCTGCACCATGTGGGAGGCTCCTTGGCCGGCCAGGGATCAAACTCATGCTGTAGTGGCTGGCAATAGCTTGATAGCGCTGTCTTTAACCCCTTTGCCACCAGGGAGGCCCCGATAAATGGAGATCGATCTTACCTTTTGAATGATTTTAGCTAAACATTAGGGCAGAAATGGGGGCAGAATGAGTAATGGTGGGGATGTTGAGTAGCTATTTCCTGGCAAGTACTGTTGTTTTGTGTTGTCAATGTTGGGAGCCACAGACATAACAGATCAGCAAACTGAAGACAGGACTTATGGCCTCCTGTGAAGATGGAGTGGCCCACGAGAGGGGCACCCACTGCTGTCACAGGGGGCAGGGCTAAGTGGACTGTCTGCTCATGTCTGTGCCCCCAGCACCAGATCAGAGCCTGGCACATAAGAGGTACCCATTACATCTTTGTTCATACATTGACCAATTAAGAAAATTGTGTCTCCTCTCACTTCTGACAGAAGCCTAAGTCCAGGGGCCTCCCTGGTGGCACAAGGGGTTAAGACACATCAGTGTGAGGCTATCTGCGGCCTCTGCAGCATGAGTTTGATCCCCGGCCAGGGAGGTGACCCACATGGAGCAGCAGACCTCTCCTGCCTTGCCCGCTGCGCCCCTCAGCAGTGTATTTCAGTCAGTCTACCTGTTCTGTTCCCCGCTCTGTCTCTGGTGAATCCTCTCACCCCCCACACCTCTGGCCTGTACCCCAGTTCTTGTGTGCATAAATAAATAAATATTAAGAAAATCGTAAAAAAAAAAAAAAGAAGCCTAAGTTCACAGTTCCCTCTCAGAGTGCAGCATTTTCCAGAAGATGACCTGTGGGTGATGTAGGTGAGTGATTGCCACAAGTAATGAATGGACGTTCACAAATGTGGATCGATGTACCACATTATGAGTCTACGTTAATGTATACTGATTTCTATTTATGGCTGGTGATTCTGGCTGGTGATACTGGCTTTCCATATATGGCACTGCAGTTTTCATTTTAGGTAAATAGTATATTCAAGGTGAAAATATGGCCCTTGGAAGTGCCAAAAATCATGAAGAAAATTGAAAATGATTGATAATTTTAATTATCTGGAAAATACCTAAGTCTGGTGTAATGAAATACCCATGTGGCCTCAAATAACAATTGTTCTGATTTATTCAGCCCCGGCTATGTACCAAGCACCATGTTAAGCACTTTATTATAGGGGATCATCTACATATCACATAGAAGGCTCATAAAACTTTAACTTCAGGTCCTACTTTTTTTTTTAAGATTTATTTATTTATGCATACAAGAACTGGGGTGTAGGCCAGAGGTACAGGGAGTGAGAGGATTCACCAGAGACAGAGTGGGGAGCAGAACAGGCGGATCTACTGATATAACACAGCTGAGGGGAGCAGCGGGCAAGGCAAGAGAGGTCTGCTGTGCCATGTGGGTTGGTCCCTGGCCAGCGGGGGATAGAACTCTTCTGCGGTGGCTGGTAAGAGCTTTACGAGTGCTGTCTTTAGCCCCTGTGCCACCAGGGAGGCCCTGCAGGCCCTACTTTTACTCCCATTTTGCAGCTGAAAGAACTAAGAAAGGTTCAGAGAGGTTTAATAACCTGCCCAAAGGCCCTCTGGGAGATCTTGGGGTTGAACTTAAGTCATTGTGACTTGGACATGGTAAGCTGAACATCTTCAACCTGAGACTCCCAGAAACTTTAATGAAGCAGCGTGGATTGCCAAGTTGTAAGGAAGTCTCCGCCCTGATAAAACCTCTATGAAGCAGAATGCACACAGAGGGGCAGAGGGCGGGCTCATTAAGAGCAGCTACTCGGTCCATAGTTACTGGCTGGAGGGCCTCTGCCAAAATAGCTTAGAATAACATTGCTCTATGGCCGTTATTTATAGCAATAATTAACTAAGAGTCAGCTCTGGGTTCAAACCTCTCTCAGTGTGGGAGAATAAATCATCTTGTTTGCTTTTAAGAAAAGTCTTTAAAAAAAAAAAAAGATTGTTTATACATACAAGAACTGGGGTGTAGGCCAGAGGTACGGGAAGTGAGAGGATTCACCAGAGACAGAGTGGGGAGCAGAACAGGCAGATCTACTGAGATACACTGCTGAGGGGAGCAGAGGGCGAGACAGGAGGGTCTGCTGTATCATGTGGGTAGCTCCCTGTCTGGGGATGGAACTCATGTTGTTGTGGCTGCTGGTATCTTCATAGTGCTGAGACTTAATCCCTTGTGCCACCAGGGTGGCCTGAAAAGTCTATCTTTTGTTCTCTGTGAATTCTGTAAACTTACAGAGTTTGTTCAAAAGGGGTATCATATCAAAAAGAAACACGCAAAAAAAAAAAAAAGAGAGAAGTCAGGATACACCCTTGCTTTATCCAGTAGAGACTGCTGATCAGCAGCTACCCCAGACCCTTGAACATGAACACAATGATGAGTGCTGTGTGGTCGCTCATGGCTAAGACTCCTCATTGAACTGTGTGACTTTATCAATAAGCTAGTCTTGGCCAAAGAAAAAAGCCAAGAAAATGTTTCAAAGGATTCCTGACAGATTTTGCCCTAACATTGCCAGGAGCCCAATGGTCTGCAGGGGACTAGCCCACCTGCTCTTGATCAAAAGCGTTAGTTCAAGAAACCCAAGCAAGAAGAGGAGTTTATGGTTTAGGGAACAAAAAGAACTACTTTTTTTTTTTTACACTTGATCTTAGCCAAAAGGCTGAGAAGAGATACTTTATTTATTTTTTAATAAAGGGACAAGATACATTTCAGGCCCAGCCAGGTGAGATAATGTCTATGGAATTGATGAAAGCGATTAATTGGCAGGAATCAGAACTCATCATGATATAATTCCTAAATTACAGTGGGATTGAAAAATCTAGTCTGGGAGCTTTTTGATCTATTCTCCACAGTGAGCAGGTTCATTCTGAAGTTTGATTTTGATGTTTTTGCCTACTAAACGATTTCATTTAGGTACTAGGTGTCTTGTTTTCTATTTCAGTTTCTAATCAGAGACTTATCTAAGTATGCATTATAAAAGGGCAAAAAGGGTTGGGCCTGAAATCAAGCCCCACTGTGCTCTCCAGGTTTAAAACCTTAGGAAAGGGGCCCTCTGCATTTGGCACAAAGTGCCCTGGGGCCTGCTGACAGCCTTGAGTTTGATCAATAACATTACAGGGCCTCCCCAGTGGCGCAGTGGTTGAACGCTAGGTTGCGAAGCTGCCCGCAGCCTCTGCAGCGCAGCACCAGCGCCTGTTCGATCCCCGGCCACCAGGCAAGGGTCCCACATGGCGCACAGACCTCTCCTACCGCCCGCTGCTCCCCTCAGCAGTGTACTTCCTTGTTCTGTTACTGGCTCTGGTGAAATCTCTCACCCTCCCGCGCTTCTGACTGTACCCAGTGCATGTATAAATAAATAAATGAATAAATAAATAAATCTTTAAAAAAAAAATTACAGATCCTAGTCAGAGGAGACCTACACTTCACAAAATTCCTGCACTTGACCTTGAATTCCTAAGTTTGGAGAAGAGAACGTTCTGTTTTATTTATGCCAAATCTGCCCTTTGTGGTGGGTTCTGAGAGTCCTGGGGATTCCTTAGCTTGGTTCTCTCTTTCTTTCTCTCTTTCCCCTCCTCTCTGGCCTCCCTTTCTGTCAATGAGAAATTTATATTAAGCTTTAATTTTGATTTTCTTTTTACTGACCTCATTTATTAACCTTGTTAGACTATTTTGGCTACCGGCAATCTTTGTCAAACTAAGATCGGAAGGATAGGACCCACATTTTGTAAAAATAGATGTATGCACAAATGACCTCACAATTACATGGGGACACTAACCACACACAGTCCGGTCTTGTTATATAGCCATCTGCACACGCGGACTCTGACACACCATCACAGGCTTCCCCCTGAGTGGACTTGAATTCATCACCCTGGTAAATGTATGGAGGTCCTTGGATGATGCTGATTCATTCAACATCATTTCATTATAATGTTTTTTTTTAAGATTTATTTATTTATGCATACAAGAGCTGGGGTACAGGCCAGAGGTGTGGGGGATGAGAAGATTCACCAGAGACAGAGTGGGGAGCAGAACAGGCAGATCTACTGAAATACACTGCTGAGGGGAGCAGTGGGCA